AGCAGTGGATCTGGTGGTGAAGGAGTGGTGTTTGGGAGGCATGAACAATGGGTTTCATTTTTTCTTCTTCTCTTTGTCTTTGTCTCTCTCTTTTTGTATCTGATTCGTTATCCACCGCTAACATCTGAAGATAGCATATGAGTTTGGTAATTTTGTAAGTAACAATGGGTGGCCTCTTAAGTAAACACTGTATTTGGGCTATTAAGTAAACAGGTGGTGTTTGGGCTACTCAACCGACCATTTGGGCTGTGTTTCATAGATTTGGTAAAAAAATATTTGGGCTACTAATTAATTAATTTGTTGGTAATTGCTTAATTAACAAGGTTTGGACTAAGAATCTATGACATAATTTGGGCTATAAAATTTTGTTTTGGGATATAAATATCTGATTTGAAGTGACTGTAACATATTGGGTAAAAATTGATTTGTGCTATTAATTAATGAAAGGGTAGGTAAAGAGAGGTTTTGGCCTATAAACATATGTTTTGTGGTGTATTTAATAGATTTGTTCATAAAATATTTGGGCTATTAATTGATGATATGTTTTGGGTTATAAAAACAACATTTAGCCTATACGAAAGAAAAATGCTATAAAATTTTGCAATTTTATAGGATTTGGGATATTAATTGCGGCTAGAAAAAAAAATTCCCTACATTTTTATTTATAGGCTAAAATACATTTCATATGTTTTTGAAACACATAAAATACCACAAATAAATGAATTGACGTTTGGGTAATTGACAAATTTAAATATGGTTCGGATTAATTTGTCAACTTATGTTAAAAAATAATTAGGTTTGATTTGGATATACAATATATAGGTTTTTCAATTCAGAATATAAAATTTGTATACTATACTTATTACAATACAGTAGTTAATGGTTATATATGTCTCAGTTGAACCAATTTCATACATTATAATAATCGTACATGTGCATAATTTTACTATATTATGTTCAAATTATTTGTGTCAGGTTTGTGAAATACATTTGCAAAATTTTTCATGTTCCAAATAAAATAACAAGTTTGTTGCAATTGTAAATATCAATGTGTTGTTGCTTAATAATGTGTGTTATTTTGTTTTCTCTACAGTGTTTCGTAATCCTATCTCCATCTCAGGTAATAAAACGATCTCACTTATCAATATGTAGTTAATCATGTTATCTGTTCATTACATATTTATTTGTCTTTGTCCATTATATGTTAATAACATGTATAAAAAATTAATGCATGTATAGCTCGAATCAATCATCATTCGTAAAGTGTGACTTTTCAAATTTGGATTAATTTAACAAATATATTTGTAATTTATGAAATTTGTAGTGAACATGGAAAACCCTAATGATGAAGTATGTACATTTCTTACCATTATGAATAGAAGTATTCGGGAAATGGTAATTTTGTTTCACATTTTGATATGTATAATGGTCGGGATATGGGACATTGAAAACAATGTCAATAATAAAATGGTGTCACGACCATTGCATAGGAGTCGCCTACAATGTGAACACTTACCCCGTTTAATTGGTGAGAGTGATACGAATTGTATAAACCAACTCAGGATGAACAGACACATGTTTGGGGTATTATGTAATTTGGTGCGTGATTTAGGAGGATTACATCCTAGTCGGAATGTTAGTGTGGAGTTTTTATTTATATTAGGGCACGATGACAAAAATAGGCCAGTTAAGTTGAACTTTCTTCGCTCTGGTGAAACGGTTAGTTGACATTTCAATAATGTATTGACTGCGGTGTCGAGGTTGAGAATGGTGTTGATTAAGTAACCTCAGCCAATTCTGGAGACCAATACTGACCCTAAATGGAGGTGTTACCCATTTTGCCATTTGGTTGTGGTGGAGAGTCTTAAAATCAAGGCAAAGTGTATGCCTTATTTTGTTGAATATAATGTAATCCTCAATTTGTGCGTAGTGTTATGCACAAGTTTAAAATTGAGACCTTTTGTACGACTTTGTCGTTTTTTAGATTTTATGTGACAACCTACTATTGTGAAATACTAAATGTTATCTCTAAATACATTTTTCATTGATTTGGTTGTGTTGTATGGTGTGTTGTGTTATGCACGACCTAAATACTTGGGTGATACAAAAATATACATTATACTCGATTTTCGTATATTAGACAAGCTTGTGATTTTTCAACACTTATGAAGAAGAACAAATTTGGTAGAAAAAGTATATGGCAATCTCTGCCATAATTTGTTTACTTTTCTTCGGATAGCCTTCAGATCTTCAAAATTGTTTGAAATTTTGGATCTAAGCAAAGCAAATATATATTTTCTAAGGAAAAAAAAAGACTAATTTACAACAAATACAAAAGGTCATGAGCTATTTCTATGTAAAATATGAAATTTCTGAAGAACAAAATTATTTTGAAATGTATATATCATACCGATCTGGACTCTTAACTTTCTCTCAAAGCTTCAATGGAGGCCTATAGGATTTGTATACTTTTTGTAACTTCCAGTCCCAGATGGTTCAATCTATGGGCCAAATATATATTACAAAAAAAAGCTCAAAGATTCATAGAATGAAAATGGGATATCCTCAAAGAGCTTAGGAAGGCTCTGTTTTATACTTTCATAATATTTTCCTGAATTTAACTACCTACCATTTGAAATACTTCATCTCATTATAGAGAACACTTACACTAGCCCCTTCATTTTCTTGATCAGGCGGGTTATCAGACTGCTCAGCTTCATTATAATGGTTGATTCATCTCCTCATGAGGCGACTGCGATCGGCTAGTATCAAGCGGGGAATGTTTTCCAGATGCTGGGTAGTATCAGGCGACTGCTCAGCTCCCTTAGTCCGTCTCTCTCTCTCTCTCTTGTTTGTCTTTTTCTCTCCTTGATGTAGAAGCCAAAGCATCTAGACCTATCTCCACAGTTTGCAAGGGAAGATGACCACTTTAAACAACTTCAAATCTAGTTAATGCGGCTGTGGTTTGGTTTTTTTGCACTTTACCCTTGGTCATTATTTAAAATTTACCACATAACTCTGTTATAATTTTGAAGTAAAATGATACTGTTATAAATTCTCTCATAATTGCCAAAATGTAGCATGGAAGGTCATGATTTGAGACTAAGTGTGTGCAAATATTCGGTCTAATGAAATGGTTTGGGTCACATTAAAAATAATAATTGTTCTGGGGAGTTGCGTGTCACAAATATTAAATTTTATGATTTTAATATTTTTGCTCATCCTTTCCTTTCCTTATACAAAAAATATAAAAAAAATTAACGTATTAATTAAAGCAACATAATTTAAATTGACATGATGTGTGCTAATGCTTCATGCAATAATATTAAAATGCCCTACCATTTTGCATAATAAATTGCATTTTGGTCATTGAAAATATTAAATATGGTTCGGATTAATTTTGCTCTTTATTGAAAATTAACAAATAAGTTTATTATTAAACACACATGTTCGGATTTTCAACAAATAAACAAATAACGACTTAGGCTTGAGTTGTATCGATATGTTGTATTGTTTTTGTGTTGGAAATAAAATTTTTTTCCATGATGCATATGATTTTTGTGATAAAAAGTGTACTGTACAAATTAAATGAAATAATTTTTACAAAATAAAAATATGCAAGTGTATATAAATGCATAATATATTTAATAATATTTTTGGATGTAAAATAGACAATACTAATGGATTGAATTTTTTTTTCATTCCATTCCAAACATGGTATAGGATTGGATCATATTGTTGTACACAAGGGTGAAATGGTCTTTTTACTATGACTTATCTTCACATGTGAATGGGGCCCACAAACCAAATAAAACTTATCCAAACATGGGATAGTATTAGAATCTCATTTTTATAATTTTCCAAATCCGAACTACTTTACATTAGATTGAATTGAGTTCGAATTCAAATTCAATCTAATATAATCCTTTTATGGTGATCCAAACACCACCATAGGGAGTTATGAGGACTATGAAAGTGCTGCACTTCTTTTGCTTCTTGTTAATGGTCAAAAGTGCTGAATATTTTATTTTTGAGCCTTGAAGTTTGAGTGTTGAAGTTTAGTTTTAATATTTTATGTTTAAGTTCTAATATAAGAATGGATTTGTTGGATTTATGGAAATCGGACCGGTTTGCACGGGTTCATGAAAAGTGACCGGTTTAAACCAGTTTGAACGGTTCTCGAGCGGGCCATTTGTTGTACCGATCCAATTAAGGAACTGGCCCAGCTTAAGCATCGATTCACCGATTTTTTGGATTGACCCGGCAGGCTGGGCTGGGTTTTAAAACACTATTAGTACCTAAATTATCTAAAAAAAACTCACTCGTCAATTTCCTTTCGAATTAGGTCGATTGACATAACTAATGCTCTTTAAAATTACAAAAAATAATGATAATGTCATCACTTAATTTAAATACCTATTGTAGAAAGTTATGTAATCATAATGTATTTTTTTTTCATAAATACAAATTATCAGACAGGTACTAATCGTAGACAAGCACACTAATCATCAAACAGGTTAAACACAAATGATCCTCCTCTACCACCACCCTCGCTACTCCATCATAGTCCTTCTCACAACCAAGGCTTCTCCAGACCCATCCACCGATTCGTATATCACTCACATCTTTCAAATTTAAGCTAAAATCATATGATGATGGCAAAAATAGGTAATAAATATATAATAACTACCCAACTCCACCAATACGGAACCACATCCAAAGTTTTTAAAAATAAGGAAGACCTTTTTATATACTAAAAATCCACTACGATTACACTTAATTTATACCAAAGGAGAGACCTTAAACCATTTTACTAATTAAAAAAAAAGAAGGTGGCCCATCACCTGTCTACAACCCATTAACTAGTCTAAGTCCGAGCCCAAGATCGAGCTTCCGGCCTACTTAGTTCAAGATCGAAGATTAGGGCCCATTAACAACCATTTAAAGACCCATCTATTTGGCGGAAATTCCTGATCTTTCAATCTCGAATCTGACCAAATTCCTAAACTTGACCACGAATTCTAGGGTTAGGGTTTTGGACGCTGCGCTCTCTTTGATGCAATTAACAGCTCCACAGGTCACTACTGAAAATGAAATGCGATATAGATGTTTTTTAATTTAGAATTTTTAAGTGTGACATACTTATATTTTTTAGATTTGTTGAGGTTTTTGTGTGCGCTATAACTACTGTTTTTGTCCATTTCGGTTGATAGTAACGTGGTGAGTTTTGGTTAAGAAGAGTTTCTGCGAGTGGGTGGATCTCGAGTCAGGATTGTGTGGAAGTGATTGAAGTGTGCACCGATGGTTTGGGAAAATTAGAGGGGCATGGTGGGTGTTTTCTTTTCTTATAGTTGTAGATAATTGTTTTAAGTATATGGAGAACTATGATGGGTTTAATGCAAATAAGGTTTTCTCGTGCATTTTAATTGAGCAGAAATTGTTGTAAATGTGACATTTTGCATATTAGTTCCTGAGTCTTGAAGAAAGTTGATGATATAGATTGGGGCAGTTCAAGTTCCTATATAGGCTTGTGAAGAACCTTTTACAGATTTGATTATATCAATGAGTACGTTTTTGTAATATTGTAGGGTTGCTTTCTGTATCTCTCTTGTATGTTGTTATTAAGGGTGGCTATATCAGCATCATGATTTCGGTTAGCATTGCAATTAACACCTATCCTTTATATAAAATCTACTGATGGAAGAACTTTTGATACACAAGCTTGTGAACTGCTTCTGCATTTTGCTGCCACTGGTACAGTATATCCGTCATCAGAAATCCAGAATGCTGGATTGAAGCACAGAATATAGAAGTCTGAACAGGAGGAATATGTAGGTTCGTGGACTAAAATATGTAATGAAAAGGAGGCTGTAGCAAGGGCCTGTCTTTTTTTGTCGTTTAACTGATGTCATTCAAAACAAGGCAGCTTAGATCTTAGAGACGGAAGAGAGTTGATTTATACACCGGACTAAATTGAAAGTTGGAAATTATTTGCTCACTTGTATGAAGAGGCTCCAACTAAAAATTGACGGAGATGAGGGAAATCTGATGCTAACGGATATCCATAATAGACTGCTCCAGTAGACGTATCAAGGGCAAGATGTCTGTCAAGGCTACAAGAATATGGATCATGCAATTTATGTGTTAAGCAATAAGTTGTCTTCCTTGGGAGGAAATTCTGTTAAGGAGAGCAGACCTCATTTTGATGTATAGAGTCTTGTAATTTATATCGAGGTTGGTTGCTGTTCTGTGCAACGAAATAATTCCTTGTTATCTGTACCTGTAAATGTTCTTATTTATTGAACTCTGTTCGAGCAGTAGCAAGCTGTTGATGAAGGGATTATGGTTAGCAATCACTGCTATTCAGCAAATGCTCTTATATTGTGTGCAAGTTTTTGGTTTGGCTTATATGATCATCTTTCTCTATATATATCTACCAACTGTTTTCTATGTCTCATTTTGGTCACACCTTTAATTTCCCAATTTGCAGTAATAGGATTATGTCTCGTACGATCAAACATGAGGTTCATTTGCTGCAGGTACCGGAAAACCCTCATCAACTCATTGTGGAACAAGTAATTAAACTATGTTATACAAGCCATTTACAATGCTTATACTTAGAAGAATGAAAATGGAAGTGATCAAACAAAAGTGAAAAATCAAGTAGAACAAAAAAGAAGAGCAACGAAATTGCTTTCTCATTGATGTACTGTTACAGATGAAGGTTTATTCCTATTCAGGCTGAATGCTTTACCCTTAGAACTTCTATGGACTGAAACATTAGCATGCATCTGAATGAAGCCTCTTTAACCGCTTTTGAGTAGCATAAAGAGGCCACTATAGTAGCTTATTTGTATACAGGAAGCTTATTTGCATTCACCTTTAGGATCTACAATTGGCCAAAAGGGGGTGAAATATGACTACAATTTCAACCCAAAAATCAAACCAGTGGCTTATGAGACTTGTATATGTAAGCTTGGATTACCGATAAGTTGGACGTTTTTGAAACGCGCAGCCTAGTAATTTATACGGAGAATGAATAGATCTTGGACTTCATCTATTTTGTAAGCTGACCTTTGCTTGAGTTCAGCTGCAAACAGCTTCGACTGATAGCTTCTTCACGGAATCTGGACATGGATCCCCTCCAAAAACTTCAGGAGCTACAGTCACTGAACAAGATTGCTTCCCTATGCAATTCTGCAGAAGAAACTCATGATAATCAGAGAAAAAACTTCCAGACAAAACAAGGAAATTGAATCAGGAAATCTGAAGGTAATAACAGAGGATCCGGAGCAGGGCACAATAATTAGCTGAGCTTCAATGCAGTAAAATTGGAGTTAATGGTTCATCTCAGAAGTTTCCATATTAATTATGTAAAAGGTGACACCAGCCGATTTCTGATCTTACCCTTTCAAGTGCATCGTATGACTTATGAGCATGACAGCTCCCCTCTTTGAAGCTTCCACATGTTCCCTGGGGCATTCCATAGCTAGCAAACTGTACTTTAGAGATTTTCTTCCCAGGTGTACACCACAGATGGGCTTTGGGTTGCAGATTATTAACTTTGCCAGAGGATAACATATGCCAATTCTTAAGTGTTGGTTGCCCTTCAAAAATATCAGCACAAACCCTTTGTGTTGTTCTACTAACCAAAGAAATATCTGTTGGGTTGCCACCCCATTCTTCAAATACAACCAGCAGATTCCCACTCGACTTCAGCCATGAGCGTGGAACATGGTACCTGAAATAGACAGCCTCATCACAAATTCCATAGTATACACTAGTAATTGACATTAAAATGAATAATCTTATCTTACCATCTTTGAGAGGGCTCTCCACAATTACTTTGGCATTTATTCTCGTTGTAAGTTCCAGCATATGAACAGTCACTGCAGCCACCATGAGCTATATATCCAGGCCAGTGGCGTCCTATGCCTTCACCGTTAATCCATATTTGACCTTTTCCCATGCTACTCATGTCCAAAGCTAATGGATCATTTCCTTCTGGAGCGTTAAAAGTAGTCTGGAATCATAACATTAAGCGAAAGAATGTCATGTGTAAGCCTGTAGCCTAATATTTGCACCTTATAGGAGTAATAAAAAGACACTATTTGTTTTTTTCCAGGTGAAAAGGGGGGAAGGAGATGAGGTTTGAACCCTCAACCACCTGCGGACACAAGTGAACCCTTGCCACTAAGCCACTCCTTCACCGAGGAATAAGAAGGCACTAGTTTGACTTTTTGGGATGAAATTTACCTTGTACCATGTTAGGGGCTGCTTTTGAGCCACCAATGATCCTTCTACCCACTCAACAGAAGAACTTCCACCGAGTGCATGGAGACTTAAAGCTTCACCTTTTAGACCAATCTGATTAGAAAAATGTGAACAAGTTAGACTTTAGCAGTCTAGCTTCTGATCTCCAACATTATAACAACTCTTATATTCCTCAGTGGAAGTGACAAGAATATCCAACCATTTCATTTAGCTATATAACCAGAACTTATCATACATTTCGAATTTTTTTGGGAATGGATATTAACAAATGTCATGAATTAATCTGGCCCTTGAAAACTACCTACAGTTCCAGCCTTTTTGAAACTGCCCATAAATATTATGTTTCTGTTTCTCTCATGTCTACCTTCTCTGCAATGACATTCTAACAACTTATGTACCAAAACTGTGCTAGAAGTACCTGCCAAATTTTCTTGTAGTCTCCGACTTTTAACTTATCACATGCAAGCAAAAAATGTTTAGGAAACAAACCTTGTAAGACCATTTCTGCTTTGTCAAGTCTCTTGTGCCCTCATTGAGGCCCTTCAAGGTTACTGGACCAAGAACCCCAGCATTCCATGTTTCAAAATGCAACCCAACATTCTGGAATTGAATATTACAAATTAAAGGCTTGACATGTGAGTTTTATATTCTGAAGCACATAGACATATCAGAAATTTTGAGAACTAACCGGAAGACCCACAGCAACGCTGAGTAAAGAGATCTTGTTAATACCAGCTCTTAACTTTACACCATCACTATATGTCAATTTTGGATTCCTCAAGCTCCCATATGCAGTTCCTGACATAAGATCAAAGATATGCATAAAAAAAACAAAATCTAATCTAAATAGAGTAAATATTGAGATCTATTCTACAAGAGCACTTTGCGAATTATGAAATACACTACATTACCTGATAGTTCACCGTTGGTGAAAACTTGCAAGGCATGGCCAGCTGACATAACAGTGAGAACTGGATTTTTTCCATTCTTTAAAAATCCTTCATCAGGTGCTATGTTCACTCTAGAACGATCAATAGAGTTATAAAAATTGAGATCAGTGTTTACAAGACTCTTTCCAAGGATTATTAGTTCACCTATAAGTCAAACAATGGAAAAAAAATTCAACAAAGGCAAGCACAATACTCACTCTGTCAGGTACCATAAATAGTCTGAGGTATCTCTGGTGACATTAAGTTGCTCCCACAACCCATCCATTACAAGAGTATCGCTTTCATCAGAAGAGGGAGTTTGTTCATTGTACGACTGCCAGGAAAATGCTCCACTACTTAGAGGTGTCATCTGCATCAGAGAGCTTTGGGAGCTAATCTGCAGAGATGTATTTAGTTGATATTACAAGACACTCGAGAGTCTTTGATATACACAGTTGTAAAAGAAAACAAATTATTTTCTCCAGTTAAGAAACTTTTTAACTGTGAAAATATGCTGGAAGATAATAATAATCAACTATTTTGGCAAAAAACCTTTGGACTCTACAAGTGAAGTCTTCTCGGAGAAAATTTTAAACATATAAGATCAATAGAGACAATGGGAAAACAGGTGGATAAGCATCAAGTTATTTTTTAATCAGAAGAAGAAATATATAGGAAATGCTTGTCGTGCCAAAGAGGTTGTTTCCTTACTTTTGCAGTGTTGAAAACCACATTCTTGCAGTCAGGGAGAATGCTGATGGACCAAGGAGGCAGGTCATATTGCATATTTTGAAAGGTCACTTTCGCTGAAGATTGAGGGTCATAGTTTGAAAGGAATGCAGCACAAGCACCAGACTTCGACTTAAATACATGGGCCTAATTATAGACACGAGAAGGGAAGTTAGTTTTAACGATAAGAATAACAAAAAGGAAAATTAGAAAAGAAGTGTATATAGTTTCTCATAGTCAACTCAGTTAAACTAACCTCTAGATTTTTGCCAAGCCAGGTTACCGTTGGATATGCCGCAACTAAAGCTGGCTCACATAACTTGATGGCTTTATGCAAGTCTCTCAAATGCCCCCATTTTGGCTCCCTCAAGGATCCTAGTGCATAATGATAAACCATCAGGACCAAAGGGATTATTTATGATTTCCATGAACAATTTTAATCATTATATATTCCCGTAAATATTATGGGTGAACATGGAATGATCTTGTTCGCCTATTAACATTGTTCCTAAAGTTAAAGATCGTTAGACAGAAAAATGGCTCCTGCAAGGTTAATCTAAGTTCAAACCAGATGCATACCATATTCATCGATTGGAGCATCATAATCATAGCTAGTTGCAACGAAAAGACCAGCAGCTGTCCGACCAAAATTTGTTCCACCATGGTACTGGACAACAAATACATAAACAAATATGAAAAAAAAATAAAAATAAAAGATACTTGGTTTTATTACTAAATCATCAACGCTGGCAGAATAGTTTTTCGTTAAACATGAAGAACCAACTAACCATATAGTAATTGAAAAAGGAACCGTTGTTCTGTATAAACCTTGCAACTGAAAATGCCAAGTCCTCTGCAGGTCTATGAGGAACAGGGCCCCCAAATTGCGTGTACCTGTGGTATAACAGAAGCAGCAAAATCAAATCCAGAAAGGATTCTGACAAGTAGGTAACAGAGGCATTATCTGAGTGATTACATAAGTGAAAACATTAAATTTGTGTGTGTGTGTGAGAGAGAGAGGGGGGAGGGAGGGAGAGAGTAGGAGAACAAGGAGAATTAGTTTCTGGTATAGAGATGACATTTATGTGACTTACCAGCCACTCCAGACTTCTGTCCACATTTTGGGTTTATAGGGCTTGTTAGGAAGGAAACCTTCACAGTAGAAGCCATTGCAAGTGTCTATCTGTTACACAAAAAACCTTATGTGAGTTCTAGAGAAATGCCTGGAACATTTGTTTATCTACTTAATAGCACAGTAATGGGTTTTTATGAAGCTGTAGAAACTGACTCATTCATCTCCAATAAGTCCACCAAAACTAGTATTTTCCTCCACAGCACAAAAGAATCTTTTCAACTCAATCCTTACACTGAAGCTAGACTCATAACAGACTGGTCAAATGCCAAGAAGACAAGCTAAAAAATCAAACCTAAGAAAATGAAAGAAAAACATGGATAACCCCTATGGGGGACCCATGATAACTGAATTGCTTCATAAGCATATGAGGTGGATGTCTGGGATCCGATGTTGATTTCCGATTTATATGTCAGCCCCAAGTTTTGGGCTCAATACATAAAATTCAATAACACAACCAGGAAATATGTACAAAATAAATAAATGGCACCACTATGGTTACAAGAAAAAGACAAGAAGCATAGAAAAGAAAACATTGAAAGTAGGATTAAAGGAGAATTCCTTACAATTGGATCAGGGGCATCCTCTTGTTTGCACATGATCCATGGCACACCAGTGCCAAGACCCACAGCCATTTCTGCCGCCCATTTCGTGTAAGCTTTACCAGGAGCACCAATTTCCCACTCCACTGGTCCATATTCATTCTCTATCTGGAATATGCAATCAACACAATGGATTCAAAAAGTTTATTTCCCTTTTGAATTGATGAAACGAGATGTGTCTTTTACTTTTATGGTTAATGATATAATCGCTTCTTATAAAAAAAGTAGTTAAAAAACTCATAAGACACTTCTAGAAACATGGTAAAGACAAGAATGAGCTTATTGTCAAACCTGAGACATGATAATTGGGCCTCCCTGAGATTCAAACAATTTTTCTGCCTTCATCATGCTTACTATTTTTTCCACAAATCCTTGCATTGCCACCTTAATCATAGTCAAAGTAGAAAATCCGATAAACAAATTAGTAAACTGGCAGATAAGGGTAGTTTTCAGATAACTAAGCAAAGACTTCTATGTAACCTACCTTGAAAGGCTTGTTGTCTGTTCTAAATTCCATGCCTGGTACATACTTCAGCCAAACAGGAAATCCCCTACATCAAAATTAGATCAGAAAACAGAGACTTACTATATATATAAGGTTCATGTATATTAGTACTATACCCAAAGTTCCACTCTGCACAAACGTAGGGACCAATTCGGAGATGAACATAAAGACCTGCTTGCTGAACCAGTTTGATGAACTTAACCAGATCATACCTCCCCTCAAAATAATACTGGAAATAAACATTGGAAACAAAAAAATTAACCCAAAAATACTATTAATCAAAATATTTGAAAACATATAAAAAAAAAAATCGAATTCTAACTTGGAATTTTTGCCTTACTTTTCCAGGAGAAGGCTCATGGCCATTCCAAAATACATAGGTCTGTATAACATCCAAGCCTCCATCTTTAGCCTTCTTTATTAGATCAGGCCACATCTACAGCCACCCAGAAACACATAAACTGTAAGTAATCGATGAATCAAAAATTAAGATCAAAAGCATTAAGAAATGAAGAACAAAATATACCCATTAGTCAAAAAGGCATGAAAAATCTGAAAAATATATATATGACAAATCTGAAAAGAACAAAATACACACACAGACACACACATATATGTGAATGTGTGTGTATTTTATACAACCACATTGGCAAGGTACCTCAGGGGTGCTTCTTGGGTAGTGAATGGAGCCAGAAATGAGGATTCTTCTTTGGCCATTAATGATGATAGCTTTGTCATCATAGGAAACACTGGCTGTGACTGAAGAAAAAACCAATGAAAATAAGGATATCAACAGTGGCATGTTGATTTTCAACATTTTCCACATTGACCCCATGACGCTCCCCGAGGGTTTCAGAACCGGAAAAAAATGGTTCCTTTTAATCTTTGTGCTTCACTTTATATTCCTCTTTCTCAGTGCAAATAGAAAGGAACAGAGGCAGCAGAGAGAAAGATTGACAGTTCTGTCTTTGTCCTCTTTTCTTCTCTTCTCTTCTTTATTGCTTCTTTTGAGAATGCAATATTTGTAACATATACCGTACTATGAAATTGGAATTAATAGCAGGAGAGGAGAGAGAGAGATGGATAGTGTGGTTGGGTTTTGGTTATGTGCATTGGAGGGAATTGGAAGATGAGCAAGTGAGCAACTGCTTTTATAGATTGAGGAAACTGGGACCCATTTTTCTTGTGTGTGTGGAAGTGGGTTGTTGGGGGTTGTGTTTTGGGGGTTGGGGGGGGGGGGGGGGGGGGGGGGGGGGGTTCACCATTTCTGACACGGAAATTAGTCTGATCCAATTAAGTATCTTTTGCTTTCTTCTTGGTAAGTTTTGGATTAGAATATAGGTTACCATATGAGACAATCTTACCACAAAATGATACAATTCACTACAGCTTTGGAAAAGAAAATGAAGGAGTTTTAATGGTGCCATAGACATGTCTAGATCACCACAATAGCTCTAACTGAGGCAATTATTTCTAAGAAACTTACTCTCTCCTATATTATAAAAGATGAAAAAGAAAGATATATAATTTGGAAGGCGTGAAGAATAAACAATCCTAAACTCAGAACATGACCGGAAGATTCAAACTAGATCCATAATGCATATGGAATTACTTAAAAGATGCAAATGAGTATTTGGTGAATGTGCCTCTCTCCCTTCCTTAATCTTGAAATGCTTGAATTGGTTGTTAGTTTCTACTACCTAGAAATTGGCGTATGTTTATGTTTTCGTCAAATACAACAGGTGGTTGGTTAGTAGCGTTTATGACTTTTGACCATCTTGTAGATAAGAGGAGCTAGTAATGCTCATTTAAAATACTGAGGAATCATCCTAACTAACGTCATTAAGGACCACTTATGGTACTAAAAATGATGAAAGCATGTACCTCATGCGCATGCATTTGAGAGAGAAAGAGATGATTTTTTTAAGGAGCCGAGGACGTGTTAGTCGAACAATTACAATTATTTATAGAATTTTCACTCAGAAGAGACATTGCCCTGATCTTGGAGATAAGATTTGGATAATAATATACTTAATAACTTGTTATGGCTCATATGTTTTCGATTTAAAAACATTCAAGGCAAAAAAAAATTGATGAAAATGTCACACTCATTTATTTGGAATATTGAATAAAAATTATTTTATTTTTTTATTTTTTTATTTTTAAAAATTATTTTTATTATCTATTTTGTCCGAGGGTTGAAGACTTGAACTGGGATGATTCACATGTATGTTGTTTTCTCCATTGCTTATACGAACTCGACTATTTCTATTTATAATATTATTTATATCCAACTATACATAATTGTGAATAAATTGTATCTGGATTAAGCCAACGTTTTTTTTTATTCAATAGTCAGGGGCGTCTAAGTCATTTTATATGCTCCTCAATTAATCTCTTTTCTCGTCCGATCAAAGAAAAATAATCTATGTTGGGACTTGGATATTCATCTCTCATAACTTAGCTCCAATGATTACTAAGATTCAAACTCAGAATATTTAGGTTTACAGTTTGTCCCTATTATCATTTGAACAACCTCTTAAAATTATTAAACCAATGTTAACACAACACGATTTTCGTGTTTTAGGCACCAACTACAAATATTTTATAATCTTCAACGACAATCAAAGTTCTTTGCTTCATGATTAGTTAATTACATACGAAAAGTATCCTACTTTTATGGAAATTAATTTTGAATAAAAAAAGAGTTTAAGAAGCTTTAATGCATATATACTTTGCCTAGCTGGAAGTTTTTAACTGGAAAAGAAAATGTTACTTAATCAGAGAAGAATATATACTTAAGCATGTTTGCCCAAACGTGTTCATATGTTATGCATTAGTGAATTGGATATTATCAAAATTCAATTCGCTTGAGATTCGATATTTTTCGGTATATTATTAGCGGTAAGATTCGATTTTTTTCCCCTTTCCTCAGAATGATACAGTACCATTTCAAGTAAATTTGAAGCAATTTTAAAGCTGATTCATGTGTATAAGGTATTTTAACTTTGATTTAAAGAAAAGAATCTCATTTACACAAAAAAAAGGGAAAAAAAGAAGAAAGAAAATAAAAAAATGCTGTTTTTTTTACTCAAGACCCAACATGAAATTTGAAAATTCCAATTTGTCATCTATATTTTATTTTCAAGGGATAAATAATTGCTTTCTTGTACGAATTTACTTAATGAAACTCTTATATTTTGAATCAAATATGATCTCTGATGATACTCGAAATTACTTAGCTCAATTGCAAAACAATGGTTGTGAGACCAATGGGGGCGTGGTGTGAATATTTAGGTTAATAAGAAAGTAAGAGATAAAGTTGGACCAAAAATAAAATATAAGTGGATTATCTTAACCGAAGGACAAATGCTATATCTACTGTAATGGAGACTCTTACTCATTGGGATTTATATTGTTTGAAGAAGAAGATTACAGTAGGTTTCTTGGCTTAGAGCCTTTGGATACAGTGTCTTGTAAATACAATTTTCTGGAACCCTTCTATACAGTGCATTTGTGTTCTATTTATACAAGTAATCATCTAGGGTTTCTTGTGATTCCTTCATTCTCTTAGTTGATTCTGTGATTCCCTATTTTTTTGTCCTATAGTGGTATATGTCATCCTGACCCAAATTGTGCTCATGATTCTTAAACGGAATGTGTACAAATATTCTCTTTATCAGAGAGTACGTGTTCGTTAGGAGCTCTAGAAACTGTCCCCAGACACGTGACGCGACGGGAGATACTCGGGATCTAACGAATATCAAACTCCTTGTTCCTAGATTGATTTTTGCCGAACTTGATGTGACCAAACAGAAACATATTGATCTGGGTATCATTGGACTCTTTTCTTTGGGTTGTGGCTCATTTTTATTGCGGGATAGGCAAACTGTGGTTGGGTCATTGGAGCTATCATGTAAACAAGGGACCCATTAAATGCTCTGAGTTTTGGATAGGATAGGCGACCCAAGTTGAAATTTTACCATTATCAATCTCAATAATTATCAGAATTCAAAATTTCACTATTTTTTTCATTTATAATCGCCCATTAGGAATGTTTCACAAATAGTACTCAGAAGTGGGCGTAACGATTTAACCATGAAATATGACCGTCATCTATCTTGACGGCTCTGCCAAGTTCTCATGACTGATCAAAATGCATAATAATCCTTTATAATAATGTCATTAAGGGTTAAAGAAGGAGTCTTGGGTAAGAGTTGAGAAGTCCAAATCCCTATATTGTTGACTACTGTTTGGGATTGGTGCTGTGGTAGCTGAAAAGACCAGGATGACCGTGCCGCATAGATTTTGGCTCTTAGGACCTACATAGTTCTTCTTTCGGTTAACAACGGAATCTTTAAATGCTTTCATGCAACGTAACCATGTCCCATGTTTATCCTTAAGATCATAAAGGAAGATTAGGTAGTTGATTATGAGTGCACTCACCAAGTACCAAGATATTCAATCATATAAATTAATTTAATGATCGAATACGAGACTGTGTAAATTATCGTATTTTAAGTTTAAATTTCATTAATAGAATAAATCCGATAAATTTAAATTACACGTGGTTGAAATGATTTTTTTGTATCAAAAATAATAAATAAATAAATAAGCAAGGGATATTCATGTTGTGGATGAAGATGCCACATAAACAAATATGGCTCATTCATTTTGGATGTCAATATCCATAGTAGTTCCTATCCATTATTGGGATAGCAAGTTGGCAAGTTGTTTACTCCAAGCAAATGGTGGCGGTGACTCAACCCAATTTGCTATCCAACTTTGAATCCGAAACCATCCCGGTTTAATATGGGTTTTGCATAGTTGTACAATTGAAATTTTCCTTCAAAATTTTCTACTAGAATGATATGGTACGGTAGTATTCACGTCGTGTTATGTTTGGTGCGTGTCATTTTGTGTTTATATCGTCTTTTATGTCTTTATTTTCATATTGTATGATTATCATGTCATATTCTTATTATTTTTGTACCCGCAAATAAAAAATCATAAGACAGCGAGTCAACGACCCCATTTTTTCTCAATACATCCGAGAAACATAGGTTTTAATAAGTTGGATAACCTACTTGATCTACATCCTATTAAAATTAAATCAAAAAAGTCATGTAATTCTACAATAATTTTTTAAGACAGTAGATCACATAATGGGAAAAAAAAATTTATTTTCCTTGTAATACTAGTTAAATAGGTTTTCAGATTAGATTTCAAATCGAATATGTGACATAAAGCATAGAAGACGTATTGTGGGAAAAAACACTGATTTGTGTTCATGGATCGACAAAAAACCCATAAAATATGTCAAGAACCAAGTTAAATATAATTTATAAACCAAACCAACTTAGTTATACAAAATTATAAACACGGCAAGATTTAGATGGTTTAAACTACGATACAACACAACGTATTGATAACTCTACTCTTATCAAAATGAGGTGTATCAAGTCGTTTCCTGATGATCCAATGAGTTGTACCATATCACAAAGGATCTTTCTTCAATTATCCAATGAAGAAAGACAAACATTTGCTCAAAGGTAATGACATAATTAGGACCACATGATCCATATTTTCAAAAATTTTGACTCTATAGTCCAAAATGTCACAATCAATTTAGGGAAAAAAAAATAGATCCTTTGTGATATGGTTCGATTTTATATCTTTTCACTTATTTACAAATGAAATATTAAAAATTGTGGGACTCCTTCTATTTGATTTGGGGTGCAATTTTGGAAAAATAAATTTCAACACAACCAAAAATAACGAGTCCTTTGGAAGAAATATGTAGAACTCAAGATAGATTTGGGAAAAGAAATCCGAACATTATTGAATTTGAGCCATTATTTAGGTTGGAATTTTGGGTTTCGAGGAGGATCCAACCTAAATTCACTAATACAAATTATACGTAAATTGAATCTAAATTCTTAATAAAAATACATAAAAAAATTTGTTGTTTCATATATTTTTCATCGTGACATATAACTTTTTCACTCGACACAATTATTACATGAGGTTATAATTTACCCAACACGGTCATCTGGGGTGAATAATAAACTTGCACCCAACCTAAAATATTGAGTACTTGGGTAGAAATTTGAAGTATTCAAGAAATCCTAAATTCATTTGAGCCACTATTTGGGTTGGAATTTCGGGTTCTCCGAATCTAACATAAATCCCAGTTAAAAAAAAAAATCTAACA